GATAGTGCACCAAAATGATTGGAGCGTCCAGGCAGCTCCCGTTCGAGCGTATGCCTTGAGTTGCACATAGCTCCAACGATCCATCACAGTATCTCCACACGCACACGCACACGCACACGCACACGCACACGCACACACACACTATTGTATTATTGTATTGTATGAGAGAGGTTCCAGGTTGAATTGAGGCGAATATTTGTAATGTTCAGAGGTTGTTGTGTTTAACATTCATGATAATATTTGTCATTGATCAAATGATAATAAACAAACATTTGCATAAAGCATATTTGTCCACTCACATGTTGATAAGAGAATTACAAACTTGAAAAATATACCTCTAAGGTACATTTAGAACAGATACAAAATGTGCGATTAATCGTGATTAACTATGGACAATCATGTGATTAGATATTTTAGTCGACTGTCAGCCCTAATTTATATATATATCTTGTGATTATATATGTTTAATATTAAAAGAATGTCAACTTTTCTAAACAATAGCACAGCGTCTTCCTTAAAACCAGTTAAACCCCACGGCCCCGCGGGCGGGGGAAAAACGCAACATCTGTAAGAAACAGCTTCTGAGGGCTTCTTAACATTTAACAAACTATGAATGTGTCATATCCACTTCACGGGAAGAAACTCAGCTTTCAGACAATATTAACAATTTTTAGCAAAACAAAACATAAGGGTAATAACAAAGGCTCTGAATTAGCCCTGAACGGAAAAATGCTAACACACTTAGCACAGAACTCAAGTTAAAATACCCTTATTACTTATCGTATCTGCACAAACAAGATATCGATTAGCAAGCTGAGATTCCACAGAGTCTAAGTATCATCACTGAGCGTTCAGAACTCGCGGCGAAACGACAACAAACAACAACAAATATTAGCTTTAAGGAGCCAAAACGGCTAAAAATGTCTTAACTTTATGGTTTTCTGATCAAAAGTGGTCTTCAATGGCATTAAAACGATAAAAACGCTGCTGAAGTTTAATCCATAGGTTAATCCAATGTGTCTGTGTCGCTTTGAAATGATTACTGATAATCCATCTTCATATTTATGTCAATAACGGAGATTTCATATTAGCTGCTACGAGAGTGTATGACAGCTTCCAGTTCCGGGGCATTCTGGCTACGCATCACTCATTCTCCAATGGATAATGTTTAGATGGATTTTAGGAACTTCCCCTCGATTCTATTGGCTCAAACGGTTAAAAAGAGATGTCAATCATCAACATCGACCTAGGTGGGCCAGAGATATGGAAAATGCACCCAAATGACCCCAGAAGTGGGGTTTTTCTTCCAATTCTCTCTAAAAAGGTCAAATGTCAATTGTTTTGCATCAATCATGATACAGGGTACTTATTATATGTTATAGTTTGGATTCTTAAAGCTTTTAGTCTACTATCCCATCATCCAAGGGTGGTTTTCACTATAAGTAATTTACTTTCAAATGAAAAAATTCTATATTGATTCTGACTCTTCTACATCCAACTCACAGGTTTATCGTTCCTTTGAGAAAAAAGATGATAATCTTCCCCTTTTTAGAAGTGAAGTTATGGTCATTTGTTGTGGGAATGTCATTTTCGAGCCTGAGACCTGGAAAACAGGCTCGGGGCTCAACTGGCTTCCAGCGCAAAACCCAATATTTATTCACAATAATGAAAGCTTCCAAACCAAAGAGAGGATTAGCCATGGGCTTGCAACTAGCTTATTATCATATACACAAAGTATATAGGGTAGCTATTCTCATCAAATTAATAAGTGAACTGATGTGCTGGCTTTAACACTCATTATCACAACTACGTTATGAAGGAAAAAGTGTTTAAATAGGAGGGGAGGGGAGAGCTATTAAACTCTTACATGGTCATATATTCTCAGATAATGTTTTAAGTCGGGTTGTAATCTTGCTCAGTGCAAGATTTCCCCTTCAGCTTGGTTAATACCTGCATCTTAACTTTCACAAGAGCCTTCCAATCTTTAAGATTGTATAATGTGCACAGCTTCCACTTGCAGCAGAGCTGAGAGCTGTAAACATCCAGGCTGCCAGAGGCAGTTTGGAAACGGGTGCTAGAGTATTACAAAATGTTTAATGGTGTTTGTTTGATAAGTCTCCTTGTGTGGGATCTTTGTGCTACCCTTTTGTAGAGAAACATTTTATTTTCAGTAGCCTAATGAATTAGAACTTACAAGAAGGTATATTTATGTTCCTATTGATGAATATTGCCTGTTAACCTGTGTGCTTAGGACAAAGGAGACGTGGCTGATGGCATGAAGGCTGCATTTAGTTCATGCCTCATCAGATCAGTGTCAGTGGAACCTTGCTATGAACCTGAAGTAGTAGAAGTTTGTTCTTGCTGAGACTTATTACATATTGACAGAAAGCCTTAGACGGTGAGGTTTATAAATCTCTCTCCCTGGCTGTGTCCCAAAGATAAACATCACTGTTTGGGCTTCAGTTTTGGCTCGATCAATCCTCATGGAGCTGGACAAGACTGTACTCACTTTCTGGAGATTTGCCTACACTGGGGTTTAATGTTGCTGTGTGAATGATGTAATAGTTACCCAAGGGTGACTCCAATGTAATGGGAGCGAAAAGTGTGGATGTCTTGGTTTTAAATGGCACTTAAAGGCCCTCTTTCATTCTAAAAATACTAGTCTTTGTTAAAAAAAAAACTGTGCTTGTTGGCTGTTCAAAAACAGAGGTTTCCCTTTCCTGTAGTGTGCATGTAAATGGTCTGCAGAGGATCAAATCCCTGTGTTCCCTCCAGAGGGAGTTTCCGGTTGTGGTTTCAGACGGAAGGTGAAAAGAGGTGCTTGGAAACATGTACCAGTAGAGCCAGTACATATTAATGTAAACCTGAGGCCCTAACTACTGGATGGACCTTCATGTTCCCCTCAGGCCAAAGTGTCATAACTGTGGTGATCCCCTGACTTTTCATTACAGCAACGAGTAAAAGGTATAATACAAAAATACTTAAGTTTATTACCAAATACCTGGTAAACAGCCTGAGCTGTCCTTCTCACTCAGTTACACTCTGCTTGCTTAAGAGTTTGAGTCATCCATCAACACAATTAGTCATTTGATTTGATCTCACTGTGGTTCTACGTCTGGTTGATCAGCAGCTCTTTAGGTTAGGTTCTATGTGAGTTTATTAGTCCTTCTATTTGCTCTCTTAACCTTTGTATGGGCGAGGTTATCAAATGTGTTTTTAAATGGACAGCTGTTCAATGCGTACTTTACCCTGTAGGGCGCATGGTGATACTGACTTGTGCAACAGCTGGAAACTTTCTTTTTGATATCGTTTTTTTAGTGTTTTTAGTTAGTGTTTGTTGCATTATTTGTGTTTTATCAAACATTGTAAGGTCCTGTTCATCCATCCTGATATAGATATTATTGCAAAGTAGCCATAACTATATACATTTCCCTGTAAACACATAAATATCTAAACTTGCGTATATATGTGACTCCCTGATGTATATGGATGTCTTACCAGTGCAGTCCACTTACATCTAATCCTTCAAAACAATGGCATACATAATAAGTATATACAAACACGAGAAATAACAAAAAAACAGAAAACAAAGACAATCCAGCCCCTGTCTGCGAGGCTGTTGAACTCTGCTTGTGTTTTTCGGAGGCAGCAGGTCCAGACAGGCTTTACTGAGAAGCTGGTGGAGGGAGGGAGGCGGTTACACACTAACCCTGTTGTTGTGCTCCGTCTCTCCTCCTGTTGAAACACCAGGCACAGATAGCCTCAGGGCTCCGATTTTTTGGGAAGTTTATGTTGATGGTTTATGTTCTTAAATGGCATTTTACCTCAGTAAAGTCCTGGAGCAACGGGGTGACAGTTTAGACAAAGGAGATGATGAACGCGCTCACTTGGCCTTTCCACGTAGTGTGTATTTCTGAATCCTTCTTAGTGATGAAAGGTCCTCTCAGCTCACTGAATCTCTCTTGTTTTGGCTCAGTGAGACAAAAGCCAAAGCTGTGCGATCCCTTTTATGAGACAAAGCATTTGAAGCAGTCCACAGATCAGTCATGCGTGGCGTCCTGTTAGTGAGGTGACATTTAGGTTTTTGAATGTGGTGCCTCCTTCTGTGTCTCTTCTGCCCTTTTCCCTTAAATAAAACCTGTGTTTCTTCTTTGACAGGCACGTTTGGCCGCATCTTCCACGGCGTGCTGCTGGATGAAAAGGACTCCAGTAAAGAAAAACAGGTCTTTGTAAAGACAGTGAAAGGTATGCACACATTTGGCAAAATATGGGAACATATCACCAAGTACGTTGTTAGTTCCCTGGTTTAAGGTGCTATTCACTGTGTGAGTGTGTTGTTTAGAAAAGTGATTGCTGAAATGCCCAGACACGAATGTATTGCTGAAGATCTGAGACTAATGACATCGCTGCTTAGCTCTCGAGTAAACAGTAACACAGGTTTCAAAGTTAATGAATGATATCTCTCGCTCATGCTGCAGCGTTTGCCAGTGAAAGATCCTTTATGTGGGACGCTTAGGTTCTTGTCAGCGGCATGTGTCAGATTTCTCTGCCAGTTGCCTTCTGACCTCTCCATTCTCTCATGTTTACTCAGGGAGGGGTTGATACCAGTCAGGGAACAATATCCTCATGCCAGTCTTGGCTTTGTTAAAGTCTTTACTTCCTCCTTATGCGCCTTTAGGGAAAAGAACAATACTGCTTCCATAAGTACCAGGCGGTGGCAAAGCTGCATACACAGATTAAAATGTGTCCGGCAGTGAGTTTGGCACAAGTCTGTGTTTCTCTGAAGTTTCCCACTACAAATGACTGTTGGCAGGGGAATGTGTGCAGGGAAACAAATACCAATTCACACACTACGTGGGGTCCAAGAGTTCAGACAGTTCTACGAACTTTTTACTGCATAGGTCACTCCAGTTCTGCTCCAGTTTTTAATCTGATTTTGTTTCTGATCAAATTGTTTAGATCATGCATCTGAAGTGCAGGTGACCATGATGTTGACTGAAAGTTGCAAGCTTCGTGGACTTCATCACAGGTGAGTGGAACTAATTCCTATCTTTAAATAACTTTTTGTTAAATTTGACTTAATTTAATTAAAAACATTTAAATATCAAAGGTTTTAACAATATAATTAAATGTGAAAGACAATGAAAAATAAGTAAAACATAACCCCCAATGTGTTGTTTCTGTTAGAGCCTCACTTTATCCACACAGTGGGCACACTTCTGCTCCAGCTTCAGATCCAGGGTGTCCGCGGGGTCTTAAAAAGTATGAAAAGTTGATAAATCAATTTAGCTAAAATTAAGGCTATTAAAAAGTATTAAACAGCATTTTCCAAGGTATTAAGAAGGTCCACAGCAACGACAACATGAAACACCCTTTCATTGACTGAAACGACATGTCGGGAAACCCCCTCGAGGCGGCCCCATGCATAGCGCGCCGTAAAATGCTGCTTCTAATTTTAAGTTTCGTTGCCTTGCTCCGCTCTGTGGGGGGAGAGTCTGTCGATGGGGATCAAAGCTGTCCGGTCCCACATGCTAAGTGCTAGCCAGAGAGTCGCGGCGTTTAAGTCCCGACTCTCCCGATGGCCAATCCGTGCCTCCCCTGACTGCACGTCGCTGACACACACCGCTGCAGACTCTCTGCACGGAGGAGCCACGGAGCAGCAGAGGAGCAGCAGCGGAGTCCGGGCGATGCTGCTCCTCCAAGGAAGAGACACATGTTCACTAAGCCTAAAAAACGATATCCGGTCCCAGAGATCTGCTATTT